TTGGTTAATGGACAGCCCCGATGGGCCCTGGCTAACAGAACCAATTCATCTGGCTAACAGTAAACCCCATCGCTCTCTCTCTCTCTCTCTCTCTAAAATTCCCTCTCTCTAAAACTCTCTCCGTATATCCTCATTTTATTATTATTTTTTTCTGGTACGTTTGGTTGTAAATTTCATTTCCTTTTTTGCTTCGTTTGCGTCTCACATTTTTAAAACCCCATTTGTGTCAATCTCAGAAACTCCGAAAATCCGACTCACTGAAGACCAAAGCTTTCAAAATCATCACAGGTCTCAATACAATTCTATCTTCACATTCAGTTTCTGGAAATTTTTATCTTTCGTCGAACGATTCGTGACGCTTTGAAGTGATATTTTGTGATTCTAAGTTATTGATTTTTTAATTCGCTGAAAGGGTTTAAGTTAGTTTGGTTGATTGATTGTTGAATTCTCGTAAATTACTCATCTTTTTTGGGCCTTCATTTATCTTTGCTCATTCTAGGGTTTTTTCCCCCAATATTTGTTTGTATGTGAACGTGAATGTTTTTTATGGAATGGTACTAAATGTTCATTTATCCAAGCTTGAAAGATTCAATTTGTGAAATTCTCAATTTAGCCTTAACGTCTCTCTTTCTTCCATCATCTCGTATTGTTGCAAATTTTGTTTTGTAGCTTTGACATTAATATATGTAATTATATACGTGTATATATGCATATAGATATACAAATAGTGGGAAGTGTGTGGCTATGTTGAATATATTTTACTTGTTTGCTGATCATAGATATTTGTAAATGTTTGATTTTTGTGCTTTTTTGGTCAAGAGAAGTTGTAGGAAGAAAACGGAAACAATTTTTATTTTTTCAAATTTTTTTTTTCTTTTTCAGAATAGGGACTTAAACAATGTGCACCCAACTGACCCTAATACTGATATGTGGTTTATTTGAGATGGGCTTTCCTTTTATAGAAACAATTGATGAATTTCTATATTTCTTTTGTTATTCCAAGTCCTCTTAGCAACCAAACAGAAGTTTGTTGAAAGTGTCTAGATGTAGACACACTATGTTTCCTAATCTTCAATTTTATCAAGTAGCTTGCTCAAATTTACTTATTCTCTCTCTCCCCCTTGTTTACATAAAGGAATTAGGAAGGAGGTGTTTTGGACAGAAAGGGAGCAAAAAACGTATTCCTTTACATGGGTGGTCATGAGGGCTGGATGCAGCGAAACGGATTCCACCCTAATGGTCTCTTGCCCAATGAAGCAGCTTCTGTGACTCGGGAGATTGATCCAGACAGGTGGTTGATTGCTGAAGGGAGGACTGCAGAACTGATTGCCTGCATCCAGCCCAACCAACCCTCTGAGGAGCGCAGAAATGCTGTCTTAAATTATGTGCAGCAGCTCATCACAAGGAGCTTCTCTTGCGAGGTACAAAATTTTTTCTTTGTTTCGTTCTTTCTGACTAGTCACATTGTCACTTTTTGGCATTCAGATCGTTTCTGCCCTTTAGTTGCTAAGGTGTTACCACGGTTGTCTATCTTCATGTAGTCATGTAGCAATAGCCATTAACAAAAGAACATTTATTGTTTGATTATGTAAAGCCTTTTGTTGTCTAAGCCTTTTTTTTTTTTTTTTTCTCTTTTCGATATATTTAATTTTTTATGATTTTTACGTTCGTAGTGCAGGTTGTCTTGGAGCTTATACATTGTTCCAATATAAATATATAAAAAGTCATTTTCTTACACCAATCCCATATGTTTGGCAATGCGCATATAATGAGTTTGTCAGTTGACTCAGTTGCATTAGTAGTTTTATGGCTGTGACAGAAATATTTGGTTGTGTACTTGGTTATCAATAAATCATTATTAGAATGTGTTTGCTTACTTGAGGATAATCTTAAAATTCACATCACTTTATATTTTGTCTGGTTAGCACTTTTGAAGGTATTTATTTTCTATAATCAATATTTGATTTTCCTTAACATACATCTCTCTGAAGTAGGAAAATATTTCCAAAATGTTAATTGAGCTCAAAAGCGAGAAATATTTTGAAATGCTTAATGATGTGCCTCAGGGTGCACCTGGATGTCCCATGAAAGTTAGATTGCCCCATTGTGTTTTATTTTTGTTTTACGTGAATAAATGGGGTACAAGAGATGATAGCTGTGATTTAACGAAAAAAAAGGAGAGATGATAGCTGTGGATGGAAGTGAAAATTTAAAACAATGGTTTTGTATGAAATCTTAAAGCTTTTCTTATTTCTTTTGCTGTGGTGACTGGTGATGGCCTTAGGTTCTTTTTTTAATCCAATCCCGAATAATGTAAAGCCAACTTCAAATCTCATGCAAACTGAAAGCATCCATTTGATTTTATGGTACAAGCCATCACTGGTCTTTCGATTTGACCACTGAACTTCATATCGTGTCTTTTGGTCTTCACTTACTCTTTTTTTGAGGGTTTCTAGGTTGATGTACTTTTTTTGTTTGTTCTATTTCCATCTTTTGCTACTTCATACCACCATACACATTTATAAAAGAGGTAATATTTATCATAAAATCAAAAGAACAATGAGAATTAGCATGGTTAAATCACTAGTTTTCACTTTTCTATAATTTATTAAATTGGAGTGTTGGATGGAATATAAAGGCATCGAATTAACAATATCTTAGTTATGTTGAGCCCTTGATGTGCCCTGCTCCTTTCTCAAAAAAACAAAAAAAAACGAACAAAGAAAAAAGAAAAATCAAATAATAAAAATTAATATTAAAATAAAAGAATATATGGATAACTAGTTTTAGTGTTTTAGAATAAGATTATTTAATGTTTTGGAATATGCTTACAAAGAATGAATTGTTTGCTATTATCATTTTCTAATACTTATCATTTATCCCAATAAGTATATATATATATATATATACAGGTGGTACTTATGCACGGTTAGTATCTTTTGTGAGAATTGAGATACAAACTTCCAACCTTCTTTGGAGAACAACCTCTTGTACCAACTAGGCTAAAGCTTTTGGTGCAGCTTGAGTTGGTATTCTAGGAAACACGGATATGGAAATGGGACACATGTTCGCACAAACAGACACGTTGATATGGTAAATCTAAAAAAAATAGGACATGGATACGGCAAAGATAAGTCAAAAAATACTATATAATATATTATTATACATTAAAAAATATTTTTGCTCATTTTATCCATATTATCATGAATGAAATTATTAAGTTGGAGCTTAGAACTTGATGTTTGTTACTTTTTTTACTTCTAAAATTTAATATTATTTTTGAAATCATATTCTTTGGAATATAAATTTTATATAATTTAAAATTGCTTTGGAATCACATTCTTTAAAGAAAAAGTTGTTACAAAATTACCTTGCCGTATCCTGAAAGTGTTCCAAACGTGTCCAACCAGAAAAAGAATTTTAAATTCAAGGGACACTTTAGCCGTATTCGGGTCGTGTCATGCACGTGTCTAAGTGTCTGATACTACCATGGCACCCCTTATAGAAGTGTCCGTGTTTCCTAGTTGGTATTTTATGGACCTACATGAAAGATGGCTTCCATTTCTCCTAAACAGAAGAGCCATGCTATAAATTTTAGTAACCAATTATTTACTATTGCCTTATGTGGGTCTTAAAGCTCTAGCTCCATCACCGCAAGTATCAAACACATTTTACTCTTGCAATGTCAATTAATATTTGGTTAATTGTACCAACTCTTAGCTTGTGGTATCTCCAGTTACCCCAAAAAGGGAAGGGTGTGTGGGCATGGTTTAAGTGTCGGTTGGGATGCGAGTATGCATGTTGTAATTGTCAAAGAACATGGACAACCCTCCAATATTTTCTGTTCCTTTTGATTATTATTATTATTATTATTATTTATAATTGGGATCTGCAGTAGTATTATTGAATTTCAAGAAAATTTATTTAATATTTAATGGATTAATATATTAACAAATAGGAGAATATTTGAAAGTACATTTTTGAGAAGAAGAAGAAGAAGTACTTAGGTAAAACTACCATGAAGTTTTAGTAGGGATACTGCGTATTAGATCAATAGAGGGCTGAGGTTAACCATGAAATGGAACATTGAATGACACTTTGTCATAATCGTTAATTTGGAAGGATTTTAATACAATGACTTAATTGACCATTTAGTTATTCTTCTTCTCAGATGACTCCTTATTATGGTATTCTGCAATTACTTTGCTTAAAGATAGACCAAAAGAGAGCAGTTGTTTTGGATTTGAGGGGAATTTTAATGGGTGAGCTCAAATTCATTGTTTTGTGTGAGAGGATATGTGGCCTAACCATGATCCCATGATAAGAAAAATTTCAATCTAGCAAATAGGAATTGTGTGTGTGTGTGAGGGGGAGAGAGAGGATTGATTTTCATCATGGCATTCTATTGAATTACTTCTTGGGCTGCAGGTGTTCGCCTTTGGGTCAGTTCCACTCAAGACTTATCTACCTGATGGGGACATTGATCTAACTGCTTTCAGTAAAAATCAAAATTTGAAGGATACCTGGGCTAATGAGGTCCGTGATATGCTAGAGAGTGAAGAGAAGAGAGAAGATGCTGAATTCCGTGTGAAAGAGGTTCAGTACATCCAGGCAGAGGTTTGTCTTATTGAGCACCTTTACATGTATTATTTTGGAAATGTGCTCTCTCTTGCATTTGCGTTTCTTATCAGATGGTTAGTATAAGTGCAAGCGTTAGTAATTGGAATATGATATAATTTCCAACTTGATAATAGTTCCCGATTTTCTTGATTTGTTATTGTTTATTCTGTGTGTGTGAGCAGTCTGTATTTTGCAAATCAACTTATCACATCCTTCATTGCCTGAACGTGGGGGTAACAGAAAGGACAAGTGTTCTAAGACATTGCTTCCTTTTTAGGTTTCCATTCTTATAACACAAAAGGGGTGTCAGAAGTATATGAATATGTATTAAGGATCACAACCTTTGCAGAACCTGTGCTGAAACTGAAAGCACTCATAGTTGGTGGATCCTCAAATGACATCCCTATAGTTATGCTTGACCATTTTGGAGTTCCGAAAATGATATATCAATTGACTGTGCCAAAGATTAGGACAATATAACATGCAGGACGAAAGATCTCTTTGCACGTGTTGCCTTTCCTTTTTTTTTTTCTTTGGAAGAAAGGGTGAAATCTCTCTTGAGAGCCTACACAGCAACTGACTATAGTAATGAAGAGCACCAGTAATTATTCCAAGCATGTTTCTCCAAAAGCATGCTTTCCGTACAGGAAGCGTTTTCGCTCAAAAGATTTTAGTGAAGTTTATTTCAAGGACTGGTTTGTAATCCCTTCTACTCTTTTCTTCCTTATTATTATTGTTTTCATTATTTTAAGTCGCTCTTTTCTTCCTTCCCCTTTTGTTTTCCTGACACTTATCTTTTTGGAAACTTTTACTTCCTGATATTCACAAATACACATCCATTTTCATAATCCTGCTGCTAAACTTATTGCTATGCTACATTTGAAGTCATAGGAAATAGAATGCAGTTGGAATGGAACAAAAATGACGAATGAATGGAATGGTCTCGTTGCACTATTTGATTGTAGACACAGAATGATGCTAGAATAGAATGAATTATGGTGTTTAATTGGACCAATGTAGATGTAAGAATGGAATTTTAACCAATTCCTCCTAAATATCCTTGTGAATTCAAGGTTTTGGTATAGAACAATTAAACATCTCAGTAGGAGGATGAATAAATCAAAGAGAGGGAGAGGAGGAAATGATAAACAAGAGAGAGTCGAAGAAAAGCAGCTAAGGAAAGTCGAGAATTATTTGAATTGTTTAGAGAAGAGATTATTAGAGTGGGGGAGAGAAAGGCATATCTGGAACTGAAATGGGCAGGGATGGCACTTTTTGGCTTAATAAGAGTTTAGCGCCGCCCTTTCAAGAGATGCTGCTTCTTCCACCCTGTAAGCCATCTCTCAAACCGCTACATAAACTGGGTCCCAAATAACCGCCCGCCTTCATGAAGCCCCCAACGGTAAGCCCAAATAAGATATCAGGAGGGACCCTACCCGGCATCCAAACACATCAGCTAGGGTATCAGTATCTCCCACCTCTCCAACCGGTACTATCTTGCCCTTCTCAATGTTGATCTTCGAGCTTGAATCTGCTTGAAAGCATACCATCAGTATCTCAGTTGATAGAATGCAACAAAATTTTGACTTACTGTCCCCTCAGTGTTGTAGCCTCTAGTTTCTGTTTCTTCACTTGTTTGCTTCCTGCAGTCTGCACTTGCTTTGGTAGCCATGAAGTTCTCAATTTGTTCTTCCTGAATTCAGTGGAATATTTGCAAAAATTAAATCTTTTTAGTGTATGAAGCCCTATGGGAATCATATTGGTTTAGTTAGTGGTGAATATTTATGGTCTTATAGGATCCACAATAACATTGGATTTTTATATGTTATAAAATGAACAAAGATGAAACCTTAAGTTTTTACTTCACCTTTCCCCTTTTCTGGTCATTGACCCTTAAGCTGTGCAATAGACAATAACTCTTTGGGTTTACATTTAAGCCTGAGACTGCCCAAATGGAGTTTGTGAAAGTTGAATTCTGCTTGTACTTACTTTTGTAATTGGGATGCGTTCCCCTTTTGAACGCCTTTTTTATGTTATTTCTTACTTATCAAAAAAAAATTCTGCTTGTACTTGTCCAAAAAAAAAAAAAACGCTGAAGTCTGCTTTTAATTACATCATTAGTTTTTACAATAGTTAGTAACTTAAATCTTGGATATAAATCAATCACTTGCAACCCCTACAAGCTTTTTTGAGAAATAATTAAGTTTGGATCACCAAGCGACAATTAATTCACGGGCATTATAAGCAGGAAATTGAAAGACTTCTTGACTTCTGTTTTAGGTGAGCATATCTTGAATATGTCATGCTTGCTATGCACACTATTAATATTCCTCCCCATGCTGGGAATTCTCCTTTCTTTTTCTAAATAGCTGGTTTGCTCTTACTTATCAAAAAAAAAAAAAAGGCTGGTTTGCTCTTTCATTTTTATTTTATCTCTGTTCCTTATAATTGCATGGTTGTGGGCTAAAAACTGACCTGCCACACATCATGAGGGGAGTTATTGAAGAAAATTATATATTATACTTTTCCAGTTTTGCGGATTTCTCAAACCACATATTAGGTAAAGGATAATCTTACATCCGGCAGTCTTTTTTGTGTTACTCTTTGAAACATGTAGCCCTATTATTTTACCAATAGAGATCATTGTTTCGAGGTTTTGGAACTTGAAAGATTTTGAGAAATCATTATCAGTGCTGAATATTGTTTTTATTTTTTCAGAAGACAGTTGGGCTTAGTTGAAAAGCATGCTGTAGATAAAAGAAAGGGCATTGGCAATAGAGACATTTGCTCAGTTTAAAGTCAAAATATTTTCAAATGAAATTTGTTCATGATAACTACAGGGCATAGGGTGCAAAAGTGAGTGCTTGTGTGTTATGAAGGTGTTTTCACAATGATATACACAGGACGAAGATAAAAAATTCTCAGCTGGGCCAAAACTACTAATTAAGATTTTAAAAATATGTACTAGTATATTTTAAATAAATGGTGAAACCATGATTTAATATTGGTGAAATTTGTTAAATCAATGAAACGTTCAATAACCTCCAAAATGTTTTGAAGCAGGGTCGTTTTTGAAATAGTTTGCTTAGGGTAGAGTAATAATGTTCTGTTATAAAAATCTTGGCGACATTTATCTCCAGTTTGCTTTTATACCAGTACGCAAATTAATACACAGTCTGATTGATATTGTTTTTCATTTGCTTCTCTTGGTAAAGGAAACTCTTTACGCCTTATTAGATTAGTCTTTGGCAATCAGAAGTTTTAAATGAATGCTGTGAAACTTGTATTTCTTGGACCAAAATAGCTAAAGTTGATGGCAAAATGTCATGTTAGGAAAATGGAAATTCAGTCACATCAAGGATCGCACTACATGGAGTACGGTGGGATGTCAGCCACACTGATCCCACTTTTGACCGGGATACTTGAGTGTGTTGTTGTACTTGATTATGGGGTCATTTCCCTTTCTTTTTTTTTTCATTTTTTTTTTTTTTTTTTTTTTTTTCATTTTATGACATAGAAATATGTTCATTTTATATTTAGCAATTCCCTAATATAAGACTACATCTCTACATATTTATTTATGAAGGAACTTTAGCTCCTCAACAGAAGAGATAAAAGAGAAATCTTCTTTGATGTGCTTTCATGTATCTGTTTGGGTTGTTTTGAATATTTCACTCATCTTTATTTGTTCACAGGGAAACTTTTAATCTAAGCATGACTGCTGGGTTGCTAGGGTTTTTTTCTTTTCTTTTCTTTTATGATAAGCTCTACTTAATTGTGTTTTCAAAGTAATAATTATGCATCTTCATATATATATATATATATATATATATATATATCGTGTGTGCATGTATACATATATAGATATATGTATTCTATAGTTGCTCTGTGTCCTGGATATATAAATATATGCATATATATAGACACACATATATGAATATAATCGTTGGTAATTCAGTTAGCATCCTCTGCACATTCACCTTTTGTGTCCTTATCTTTTTGCAGGTGAAGATAATAAAGTGCCTTGTAGAAAATATTGTAGTGGATATATCTTTTAACCAGCTTGGTGGTTTATGTACCCTTTGCTTCCTTCAGGAGGTATGCTAAAGGCTTTTAAGTTATTTTTGTTGGGACTGTGAACAACCCCCTACAAAACACCCCCCCTCCCCCCTTCTCCCCTTCCCAATAGGTTTTCACTAATTGACAATTCTCTGTTTAAGGTTGACAGTTTGATAAACCAAAATCATCTATTCAAGCGCAGCATTATATTGATTAAAGCTTGGTGTTACTATGAGAGTCGTATACTGGGTGCTCATCATGGACTTATTTCAACTTATGCTCTGGAAACCTTGGTTCTATACATATTTCATGTTTTCAATAATTCCTTTGCTGGACCACTCGAGGTGAATATACTCATAATTTTTGGTTGTTACCAATCTGTGTTTTATTTATCGTTTTCCTTGAGATCTTTACTTTACATCTGCAGGTACTATATCGTTTTTTGGAGTTTTTCAGTAAATTTGACTGGGACAACTTTTGTATTAGCCTTTGGGGTCCGGTACCCATTAGGTCTCTTCCTGATATGACAGGTACGAACAAATTCATGGTATGATATACATATCATTTCCTGAAGATGTTCAGTGTAAAACTTCTGCAATAATTGGCTCGGATTTTTTTTTTCTGTACAGCTAATTCTCCTAGAAAGGATGGTGGAGAGTTATTACTCAGCAAATTATTTCTTGAGGCTTGTAGCACTGTATACTCTGGCCAAGAAAATCATGAGCTACCCTTCATTTCCAAACATTTTAATGTCATTGATCCTTTGCGTACAAACAACAACCTTGGGCGTAGTGTCAGCAAAGGTACTTGTGATCTCAAGCTGGACGTAGTGTTACTTCCAATTTTTTTTTTTGTAATTTTTATTTATTTATTTGATTTAGCTTGGTTGTGCTAGTATTTTTTAGTTAACCATGTACCTTGTGCTTCAATATACTAAAAATACGGGGCTTTGTGCGAAAAATCGACAATTAAAATTCTCTGTACCAATTGAAGGATTGGACCATTGTCCATGGCTTTGATACTTCAGAGTATGCTGCTTGAAATAGATCTAGAGGAGAGGTGAATAGAACTTACTAAATCCTAACTGTCAGTAATCAATTTTTGCAGTCTAACAATTATATATGAACTCCCCAATACAAATTATGTGTGTAGAGGCAAAAATAAAATCTCCTTGTAATCACATATAGACACACCAGATTTATGTTGAAAACCCTAAAGGGTAAAAACCATGGGACTTAGTTCAGACAGATCAAATCCACTATAGGAAGATGTTACAACCTAGGTATAAGATTTTAAACCTTAGAATTGCCTAATTACCTCAGATCCACTCTTATGTGAAATATTCCTCCATGAAATGCTGTTGTTAATCTATGAGTCCCTCTTTACATGAGCTACTCTTCCTCTTTTGATTGATCTCCTCAGCTAGCAATCCATTCTTTAAGTTCTTTGTGTGGTTTGGTGTTAATGAAGTTTTAGCCTGCACCAATGGAGGACCCACACTTTGAATTTTAACTCACCATCTAATGCAACGTGGTAGATGATGAAAAGAAAAATATATCCTTTGTGCTCTTTCTTCTATATGTATATTTGTCTTTTAGTCAAAAAAAAAAAAAAAAAAGGTTCCTGTTGTTGTAATGGATGTTATAAGATTCTATATATTTAGGAATACATAACTTGTATAGTTGGTGTCTTTGGGTTAAGTAAGTTGTGATGGCTTGACAAATCTTGCAGCAATTACGCTATATCAGTGTCCAGCATTTCTATAAAATAATAGTTTCTTCTGCGTCCTTTTTTTCCACCTATTGGTACGAACATACTTTTCTCTTCTCCAATTACTTGCTCATCACTGTGTAAGCTGAAGTAAGGCTGTAACATATTTCTTCCACTTGTTTTTTTTTAGTTTCCCAGAAGTGCTACTCTACTTAATCTATCTTGCCCTAGTTCCTTCGTCACTGTTTCTTTCTCTCTCTCTCTCCAGCTTTATGGACAGATGGATCAACTTAATGAAACTGTGACCTGTAGTTATATCTTGGCCGTTTTTCTTGAGTTAGAATTGTCTGGCATCTGTTATGTGCGTAAAATGCTATTTTTATTTTTATATTTTTATAAGTAAGATTGTATTAGAACGCGTTCAAACGGGGAATGCAGTCCGAGAAAGTACCCAAGGACCATATAGGGTCCCTACCCATTCAATAAGTCCAAAAAATCTACTAGCTCTCCCATGAATTTACAATTTCTCCCAAGTACCAACAAAAAAGAGAATTAATAATAGAGAATTTCAGTGCGTAAGGATGCTTAAGATGAACTTATATTATATATGTGTGTGTGTGTGCTTTAAATAATAAGCCAAGGTTTTTCTTTGTTTGCTTGCAGGAGTATGGCTGACCCCTAAGTATCCTATAGTTCCTGATTTCGTTCCTTTGGGATAAAAGAGGGAGGGAGGAGAAGAAGAGGGGGGGGAGGTGTTCTATAAATTCTATTCTGTGTTCCTACTATAAGACTCTTAAGAAATTTGGGAGGCAGGGTAAAATAATTTCCTAGATGAGTGTAAGACAGCTGCAAATCATGTCCACCATGTCGACTTTATTGAAAAGACAAACAAACAGTTGCATGTTGATTAGTACTTAACATGTGTGCAGATGGAACAACTTCATCATCTCTGCTTCTTTCTTAACCAATATTAATCTGCTTGTTGACTTAATAAAACACCTTTAACACTATTTTCTTGCTCTTGATCATTAGAAGTTTATCTCCTGTTACAATGTGACATGAATGGGGATATTTGCCTTCAAGTATTTGCCACACGTTGCCTGACATAAAAAAATTCCCAAAAAAAAGAAAAGAAAAGGAAAAAAAGAGGTATAATAAGGGGGAGACATGCAATATGGTGTTTGACATGGGAAATAAAAACCATGTTTTAATTATGATGAAATTGTGATTAACAGCTTATTTACAAATCTCAAGTTAGTGTATTGTCTCTTGGGTTTGTAAAATGAATCAAATACGGTTAAACGTCAAGTTCTGCTTAATCAGGCAGCGTAATCTTGGCTTTAAATATTTCATTTGAGCATTTTTAGAAGCTCAAATGAGCCGAGCCCGAGCCTCTGGTTCAAGCTTAGTAGCTTAAAAGGCAAAGTTTTAAACGGTAATGAGTTTGTTTTGTTAGGTTTGATTTGATTTTTTTGAATTAAGTATTAATGACTGAATATTCTCAAAATAGTTTCTTGGGAGCATCTCTTAGTAGCTTATTCGTCGAATAAGTTTTTGAATTTAAATGGACTAGTGGCCATGAATTTTGATGGAGTTGAATGCTCCTGTAATCAATTCTCATAGGGAAATTAAGATTTTGGTAATTAATTTGTTTATAAATTGAGCCAAGCAAGTTGAGATTGATTTTTGTTGAGCCAAGGTCAAGATTAAGTAGTTTAAAATAGGCTTGAGATTTTGTTGATCTTGATTTAAGGTTTGTATAGTGGAGCTAGGATGGGCGTTCTGTGCCACAGCTCACTTGGTTTGCGCCTGGGTGCAGAAAGCGACTATTCTACCTGAATATCTGTTGATGTGTCTGCTGTGCATTAAGTCATTCCAATGACTCATACCTCTTTATTTATGGTGACGAACTGTTTGCTTTTGTTTTTTTCCTTCAGGTAATTTTTTTAGGATTCGTAGTGCCTTTGCTTTTGGGGCTCAACAGTTGGCCAGATTACTTGATTGCCCCAAAGAGAATATAATTTTTGAAGTCAATCAGTTTTTCATGAACACATGGGACAGGCACGGGAAAGGGCATCGCCCTGATGCGCCTAATCCTTTTTCCACTAACTTGAATCGCATTGTTGATGGTCTTGGGAAATATTCAAGCGAATCAAGCCACAAGAGAGAGAAGGAGAATTCTACTCGTCATGAATCTGATGTTGAGGTGATTCATGCTTCTCACTCTAATCGTGGTATTTTCTCCCAGAATGCTAACCAGTCCTTGAAACGGATATCCAGGACGAATAATGCGAATTCCATTTGTCTTACTCAAAGCCAAAAGATTCATGCCAACTTAACTAGCTCAGTGGCCTCTGATCTGAATCGTAGGATTACACAGAATATTAGTTCTAATGAGATTGCACATACTGATAAGGGAAGAAGTGCCAGACCAGATAACTTGGGGAACAAACTACATGCCAGATATCAGTTTGCAAGGACACATTCTAGTCCCGAGCTTACAGATTCATCTAGTGATTTTTTATATCGAGGAAGGCGTATCAAGGCATCCCAAACAACCAAAGGGCAGACTACTTCTACAAGGTTGGACCGTAGCAGGCGAATAAATTCAGGTGCTGAAGTTTCAGAGAACAGTGCATTGTCTTTAGCTGAAGACCTACCATCCTCTAGGCAGAGCTCAATTCATGGCAGTGCTGATTCTACTGCTGATTTGAACAGTGTTTCAAATTACCACGGCGAGTCTGGTATAGGTGCAATGGGAGAAGATCGACCTTCTGTTGCTGAGGCACTGCAGATGCATCAGGATGAGCAAGATCTAGTGAATTTGATGGGTTTTTCAAGGGTTCATAATTTCAGTGGACATGTTCAGACACCTGTGAATTTTGCTTCTGCTCATTTACCCATTCCATTATCACCTTCTATTTTAGCTTCATTGGGATACGGTCACAGATTTCCTGCTGGTATGGTTCCCACTATTGTTCCATCATTTGAGTCCCCCTGGGGTCCAAATATGCATTATTCTCAAGGTTTAGTCTCTTCTCCAGGATCTCAATACATTTCAACTGTAGGAATTTCCTCAAATCATGAAGAGATTGTTGAACCAATTGACAATAGTTTGGAATTTAAAGAAAGCTGTCATGAAAATAGTGATCATGGCTTGTGGTCTGAACAGTATGCAGATTCTCTCAGAGAGTTTGATCCTGATAATGGGAGTTTTCAAGTGCAACAGCTGGGGGAAAAGAACAAAGTCACCTTAACAGGCTTTCCTGTTGTCCCTTCATCTCAGGTAAGTATCTCTGAGGGTTGTTCAATGAAAGACCATGCATCAGTGGAAGAGAATGGAGGTTTAATTAGGGAATGTGTTGGTGAGAATCCCCATTATCGAAAAATTGGTGGAAGTGGTGCTTACACTGCCAGTTCAAGAATTGTATCAGCTTCGTTGAGAACCAAACAGTCTTCTGAGAGTTCCTCAGATGGATCATCTTCAAAGAACTCCAAGTCGATGGCGGGTAGGTGGGGCAGAAAATTGACTCCCAATGAAGATCGGTCTACTTCATATAAAAATGGGTGGCAATATGAGAACGAATCAGTTGATCATCTTTCTTCACGGACTGATGATGACAACAGAGACTGGATTCGACTCTCAACAGTTGACACCGAAGTGGCAGAGAGTGAGGCTACTGGAGCTGTTTCTTCACTTCTGCGTAGCCGTCAGATGCCTGATACTGAACCAGCACAGACGAGTGGATCAAATTCAGTGCTTCCTGTTGCTCCAATGTTTGCAGATTATGGTTCAAGGCAGAGAGCAACGGAAAACAGTGGGATGTTACCTTTTGCTTTTTATCCTACAGGGCCTCCAGTTCCTTTTGTAACTATGCTTCCATTTTACGGTCTTCCAACTGAGCCAGGAAACTCCGATGCATCCACAAGCCATTTTAATAGGGACGAGGAGTTTAATAATCCCCATAATGGTCAGTCTGATCAAAGGTTGGATTCAACTGAGAATCTAGTTCTGCCAGATGTTTCCAGTCATTCTAATTTGGAGGGGGCTGATTTGGCTGAGCCTTCTGAAGAGCACAGGCCTGATATTTTGAACAGTGACTTCACCAGCCATTGGCAAAATCTGCAGTATGGACGGCTATGCCAGAATCCCCAAATTCATGGACCCACACTTCATCCTTCCTCTGTTGCATCTCCAATATATATGCAGGGTCATATCCCATGGGGCGGTCCTGGAAGACCTGTTTCTGCAAATGCAAACCTTTACAGTCAGCTTATGGGTTATGGTCCTCGCATCATTCCTGTTCCACCTCTCCAGCCTGGTTCTAATAGGCCTACTAGTGTTCATCAGTATTATGGTGAGGAGATTCCTCGATCTCGGGGTGGGACTGGAACTTACCTGCCTAATCCTGTAAGATGATCTCTCCCAAAGGAACTTACTATTTTGTTCATGACTCTGGTATATATCCTGTATTGATTATTTTGGTGCTCGACTTGATTAATTATTAAGGTGGGTGTAATTTTCGTGGCATGTTGGTCAAGTTCAATGCTTAACATGTCGTTGCTTGTTTCCTATGCAATTAAAGTACTGAAAATGCTGGAAGAATTCCTGGTGTGTCAGTTTTACTATCATGACAAAAATTCCTTATTCTCACCTGAAAAATATGGCTATTGCTTAATTAGAATCAATTATATGGAAGAATTTCTGTATTTATTGCACTTCTATGCAGTAACGAGTCTCAAAATGTTATGTATGCCAAATTCATAATATGAATTTTGAGCTTGCAACACATAATTTAATGTAGGTGATTTTTCAAATTCTTGCATAGGTGACTGCCTGAGAATGCCCACCCAAGGAACCTATGTTTGAACAATATGCAGTACAGTGCTTAAGTCATTGTTACATGTGGTTTGGCTGGGCCAGGGGTTGTCGCCTTCATGCCACCCTTGGCCTGATGTATTGTTTTACTTCAATGCTCTGTTATCCTCCTTGGGGACCGGTGGCATTCCTCTGTAATGCACATTGGTGTGTGGCTCACATTGGTGGTAGGTGCCACCACTTGTACCAGTAAACTGTGGTGATAACAGTAACTAATGTTGATAAGTTGGGTTTCTTTGTTGGGTGGAATTGCATCCTTGGAGCATCTCATGTTGCCCTTGATTGTTTTTTGAAAGTTAAAGCAAAACACACACGCCCATATCCACAAGATGTCCCTAGTGGGACTAGAACTCTCAACTTCCCCCATTGGGGAAGAGAGATCATAACACTGGGCTAGAGGCCCTTTGATTATTGTGGGCCTTGTGTCTGTTTCAAGTATATTTATTTTAGACATGCTTATTAGCTTCCTGCTACTGTTTTGGAAGCTGTAGATGTTCTTTTCATGTTTTGATTTTATACTGATGAGTTCTAGGGATCCATGACTTTTGATTTGAATATTAAATTTTTTTTATTATAACTTAATTTCTCTTCTTATTCTTCCAGAAGATTAGTTATAGGGAACGGCAATCTTCAAATACCAGGAACAACAGGGGGAGTTACAGCTATGATCGGAAGGATCACCATGGTGACAGGGAAGGTAATTGGATCAACTCAAAGCAACGATTTGTGAATCGTGGCGAAGGTCACAATCAATTTGAGAAACCGAATGCAAGAATAGATAGGAGTACGGCAAGCAACAGTCGATCTAATAGGCCTCGAGATAGTTTAAAGCCTGATTCTTTTCCTTCAAACCGTTCCCAGAATGGTCCATTTAATTCTTCAAACTCTATCCGCCACGGCCCTCCAAATGTAGCATATGGCATGTATCAACTACCGGTAGGAGGTTCTCATGGCACTGCTGTGCCTTCTGTTGTTATGCTGTATCCATATGACCAAAACATGGGTTGTGTTTCTCCTGCTGAGCAACTTGAGTTTGGGTCTCTTGGACCTGTGCATTTCCCAGGTATAAATGAAGTAGCACCCCTTGGTGAAGGATCATCAAATGGTGTCAATGAGAACCAACATTATCGAGTAGATTCTTCGTATTCTTCACCAGATCAACCCTCTTCACCCATGCTTCAAAGGTAATTGCTCCTGCCGTTTCTCAGGGTGCAAACAACTAGGCTGAAAAACACCAATGGTTTATGTCGGAGTTTCTGGTAGATGCTGGTGTCTTTTACAGCTTGGGGATCTATGGTACAAAGGGTTGTTCTGCTGATATATCTACTACTTGCAATCCATTTCCTGGTTTGATTGGTTCGGACATGCTCATATAATTGGAGTGCCAAGTTTGCATTGGCTGTGGTTGAACTGACTGAACAGTTTGAGGAATTCTGCTGGATGGTTGGTTACATGTAACCAGTGCGACTTTTGGCTTCACTTGTTGCTCGTCTAGAGTAATAGGCATGCGCACTGCCAGAGCATGGTTTATTATGCAAATCATACCATTCGTTGTTACTTAGCAGGTCATTTTTATTTACCTTTTTTGATTGTTAGTTTGGTGATCTTGTAATTGAATTGCTTGTGATGCTGTTGATGTATCATCTTAACAGGGTGGTTCCAGATTGAAGGTACAGAAGAATTATCTGTTAAAAGGTGTGTGTTTCCCTCATTCAAATATAAACCCGGGAGATCAGATAGCATAGCGGGAGCAACTATAAATCATCGCAATACAGGAACCTTCCATTCACTCCTCATGTGTAAGGGAACTGTTTTTCTTTGCCATTCCAGTAGATTGCGTGTTCCCCTTCTGCAGACGAACAACCATTTCATACCGGTGTACTGCTTCTCTGTTCAGCCTATTTTGCGATGGTATGGTGTAGAAATATCGACGGTGGCTTGGGAAAACCATTCTGTGGTGGTATGGGAGAGGGATGTTGAAGATGAAGCAGTTCTTTTACGGTCACCCAATTGAATTACCTGCCTGAGGTAAAGCAGTTAGGGTTCACTGTGCTAGGGCTTGCTTTTCTAATTTGTATGTACTGTAACATACTGGTTAGGTTTCTTCCTCTTATTTCTGTCCTTTTTCTCGACTGATATATGTGTTGATGGTCAAAACTTCCAAATGTACTATTATCATTTTCAACAGAAATTTGTTTGAAAATTTTTCAATTGCTTTATTTAGTGACAAAATTTGCAAGGGCTCTTTGACGTGTGATTTTCCTACACCAACCGCTTGATTTTTTCCGTTCAACGCATGAATTTGACGATTGGAAGGAAAAAAAACAGGGACGAATCTGATTGAGATTCAACTAAGTGCATATGAACGTTTGCTTCTTCCCCCTACCATTGATGATTTTCAATACCAAAATCATTGTCTTTTGTCAGTTGTTCCTGGTAGCTTTTTCAGATTTTTCTTTTTTCTTTTATTATAATTGTTATTAATATTATTATTATTTTTTTATTTTTCACTGTCACTTGTTCGGAGTTTTTTTTTTAGTTGATATTCACACCCCTCCCACCGAGAAATTGTTTACACATGGCAGGAATTGAAGTTCTGAATTTGTTTAGATAATGAGGATCTGATTCTTATCAATGGTGATAATCCATGTCCAAAATCACCATTGTTACCAACATCCAGAGTCACCTAAAACGGTATTCACAACCTCTTTCGTGAATTCCATCATCTCCAGCGAGAAATTTTCTGTATATCACAAAAATGCATTATATATTTCCTAACAAAATGATTTACTGTATATGTTTTCTCTATTTAAGCTTAGATGATAATTTTTTATTTATTTTTACGTAATTCAAGTAAAACTAGATTAAAGAACTATACAAAACAGGTATATGATGGACAAAACACAACAGGTTTATCAAGAATGCAACATCATTACAATTTATATTGAAAATGCAACACGGTTTTATCAAGAATGCAACATGCAACATTATCTATGTAATTATCGGTAATAATCACCATTGAAAGTTGCCTGAATTGTATCCATATTCGGTTGTCTCTAACAACATGTTAAAACTATATTTTACGGACAAGCTCTTGTGAGATAGAGATTTAACATTTGTTATTATTTTACATAAATTGACACTTAAGAAATTCAAATTCGTGTTTTCACTGCACCAAGGAAGACCCTTTATTGATAAAATTTGTCAAATGCCAACTATACCATCTTATTTTATGTCTTTAGCGTGACAATTCAGTTTAAATAAATAAATTATTAACGGGATTATTTTCAACACCTCCATTTTCTCTCTCACTCAAAGGAACGTAGGTCCAAACACAACGAAAAGGCTAAGCATGAAGTATTTTCATTACTTTTTTTTTATTTAATTTTAATATTTTAACGTATCTAAACATGTTTGTCAACTTTATCGTCACTTGTTTATTTGTTTTGAGTTTACGTAATTATGTTCCATGACTTTTCATTTTCTTGACGGCGATTCCTTTCTAAAAACTAATAATTAGGAATCAATTCCACTTTTACTTAAAACAGTTAGTCAATTGACATAATTTTTATGATTATCTTGTCGAGACTTGGTCGGGGAAAGAAGGAAAAAGCTTGCTTTAGATCGCATAAGCAGAGTTCTCTTTATGATGTTAATATAGATCAATAATAACATGACAAGTGTAAAAAAAAAGTTAAAAAATTAAATCTGAATCATTCGGATCTTTTCATGGATCATTCAAAAAGAAAGATGATTTTCTTTCACACGTGTGAGACGTGATAGCGGGCTCTCTCTCTCTCTCTTTAACTCACGATTCATTCTTTCTTCCCACCAAATCCTCATTGTTGCCCACCATCTCTCCAATTTTGAGACCCTAATATTAATCATTTCTTCCGCCAACAGACCTGCACCACCATTTTCCGGTCTCCACTGCTTGCCACCTCCTCCATTACATCCAATCTTTTTAGATGATTCAAATCGACAATTAATAAATACGCATAACTCTAATGGCATTCAAAATTTTGAGATTTAACACAAACTGTTGCAATCTGAAGTCAAATTGATTTCCTTAAACTCCGTTGATAATTGAAGTCTTACAATTGTGGTTAATTTACCATGTTTGGACTAATTGTTTAGGTTATTCTATGGATTGCAATAAAAAGGGTTTAGAATAAAAAATCTTAAACACGAGGGAAAAAAAATCTTTTCTTTTGGATGATCCGCAAAAAGATCCAAACAAATTTTATTAATTATTTTACATTTTTTTTTACACATGTTATATTTTTATTGATCCATGTCAGCATTAGAAGAACATTCATACTTATGCTGTTCAGAGAAAAAATATATGTAAACTACATCTTTTGATATACCTGTATGTTTATTTACGAAAAATATTTGAACATAAACATTTCAATTAGTACTATCTCAAAATTAATATATATATATATATATATTTTTTTACATTGACAAAAAATGCACACAATTACTCATACACAAAATTTGTTCTTTTGAAAACTCGAACACTTATCATTCATTTTAAAAAAAGAGAAAGAAAGGACTAATAAATGTCAACAATTTAAGGTTGAATAATAATTTAAAATTTATTTAACAAGTGAAGTCTGAATTCTTTAATACTCCCGAAACAATGTTCATCAACAAGGTTGAAGTTGTTGAACACATCGTGATTTGCGAATTTTATAAATTTGTAACCTTTTCAATATATATATATATATATTATAATTTTGTAATTGATTTTTAAAAATAACTTTGACTTTAAATTTGAACTTAAATTTGACTTGTTAACTAGTAAAACATATCAACCACGACCTTGATAAACCAACAAATTAAATGTTGATTTAACATCTTTGAATTAGATGCAGACATGTAGTTGCATCCATATATATATATATATATATATATATTTTTTTTTTTTTTACATGGACAAAAAATGCACACAATCACTCATACACAAAATGTCAACAATTTAAGGTTGAATAATAATTTAAAATTTATTTAACAAGTGAAGTCTGAATTATTTAATACTCCCGAAACAATGTTCAATCAATAAGGTTGAAGTTGTTGAACCCGTGATTTGTGAATTCTATAAATTTGTAACCTTTTCAATATATATATATATATATATATTATAATTTTGTAATTGATTTTTAAAAATAACTTTGACTTTAAATTTGAACTCAAATTTGATTTGTTAACTAGTAAAACATATCAAGCACGACCTTGATAAACCAACAAATTAAATGTTTATTTAACATCTTTGAATTAGATGCAGACATCATGTTGTATTCATATGAGGAACTTCGACAGGGTGAATAATGTATATAGGACCAAAATTCATGTCTAGAAAGGCACGAACCTTTAAGGAAAGTTAAATACCTGAATAATTCTCGAGGACTTGGAAGAGCGCCTCCCCCACTCGGGTCAGGTAAGTCACTGTAGGGGTAACGGATGTTAGCCACAAAGAATACTTAATGAGACTCAAACTCCAGACTTTGGACTTGTTAAGCTCCAAAATTCAACGAGTAAAATGCTGAAAAATATCCAGAGTGAATTAGTTATCCTATATTTGTAAACAACAATGTCACCAAAAGCTCAATTATCCGTCTCCCTATAGGTGATTAAATTAAAGGGACTTCAATCACAGTTGTTTGTACAAATGTAATACCATCGACCAATAACAAGCAAATTCTACCATTCATGTTGAAAAAAATAAAAATAAAAAATTGGTGCAATGAGATTGGTTTAATAGGATTTATTTTTGTTATGGAAAACTGATTTACTAGTGTTGAGACAAAAAAAATTTGATGTAGTCTCACCACCTTTCTATTGGTCAAGAGTCAAGATTTCTTAACTTCAGTCGAAATTCAGGAGTTATGGATTATGGACCAATTTTCTTGGTGAGAAATGTGACGGATTATGTACACGACCATTCTTAGTTCAAGTAAATGCACATATACTCGCAATATTATTCTTGATAGAGCTCGAACACAGGATTAATTATGTTATTTTGAAAATACAACCAACATTGTTTGTACAAATGTAATACCATCCGGCATCCGCCAATAACAAGCAAATTCTACCATTAATTTTGACACACACACACACACATATATATATATAGATATATATTCTTGCAATGAGATTGGTTTAATAGGATTTATTTTTGTTATGGAAAACTAATTTACTAGTGTAGAGACAAAAAAAATTGATATAATCTCATCACTGTTGGATTGGTCAAAAAGTCAAAAAATTTCAACTAAAATCGAAATTCATGAATGAGTGCATATATGTGTTAAAATGAAAATAAAAAGTAAAAATTTCAATTCAACTTTATTTTCATATAAAAAGAGATAAATCTCTATTGTTTATGGAAATTATACCAACTAATGGGGGTTTTTCAAATTAATTACTCCACTATTTGACCTATAAGTGTAAGATCACACATTCACATCAACACATTAGAGGGGTAACATAGAGAGAGATTAAAGATATTATTGAACCTCTAACTTTTTCGACCATAAAATTTCTAAAGTTTTTCAATCCACTGTTTGAGATCAAGATTCTGGCCCTCAATCGAAAATTCATTCAAGCAAACTATTTTTTCCCCCTTATAAAAAATATTCCAAAATAAATGAAAGAAAGGATTAGAAAATTCTTATATAAAGTTCTTGTCATCCATCCTCCATGTAAAGGAATATAGCAGGCTCTCCAAAAAGTTATTTGATTTCTTTTGGTAAGTACACGAAATTATTTGATATAGATGTCGATAAGCCATTAAAATAGTATTTTCAGTGAATTTTGGATTACCAAGTTTCGACTCTCTGCATCTACTATTCTAACTTTTAACACTTCTTGGCTTGTAAAAAAAATAAAGGTTTGATGTAAATGTCATAAATGTAACCACTGCCATAACTTCATGTACACAGGTCTCATTATGGAAATAGACATTGAAATAATCGTATTCTGATTATAATAACGTCAATCTGAATTAACATGCTAATTCAATGTGTTGTATTTTATTTGTCAACTAATTTATAACCCGATTAGATTCATTTAACTAACTGTGTTACGTTTGCGTTAAAAGTGATTTGTTTAACTAAACATATTTTAGAATTGACTCAAATAATAATAATAATAATAAATTAATTGAACACACAGTGTCAAGTTTTAACCCATTTATTAAACATATGTTAACTGAATAATTATCATATTGT